TAGGAACTGGAAACACAGGGAATCCAGGAAGATGAACCCCTCAGGACCAGTGGTGAGAGTGGAGATACCGGGAGGGTAGAGGGAAGGTGGGCTAGAAAGGGGGAAACTGATGACAAGGATCTACATATAACCTCCTCCCTGGGGGACAGACAACAGAAAAGTGGGTGAAGGGAGCTCAGACATAACAAAATAATAATAATTTATAAATTATCAAGGATCCGTGAGGGAGGGGGGTTGGGGAGGGAGGAGAGAAATGAGCTGATACCAAGAGCTCAAGTAGAAAGCAAATGTTTTGAGAATGTTGATGGCAACCAATGTACAATGTGCTTGACACAATGGATATATGTATGGATTATGATAAGAGTTGTACGAGCCCCCAATAAAATGATTTAAAAAATTTAAACAGAACCAGAGGTTAGAGAAATAGACAGTGTCCCTACTCCAAGTTCCTAGGCACAGCCCAGTGCTAGGTAGGCACACACCAGGGGAACAGCAGCAAACTGGCTGCTGTTCTAACCCAGTGGGGCAGCATTAGTGAGTGGGCAAGGTATTTAATGTCCATGGGCCCCCAGTTCCTCAAGGGGATGTCACCAAACCTCGGTTCAATTCCAGACGGTGTATGACCTTGAACAAATCCACTGGGAAGGGAGCTTAGCCTCCTCAACGTCCTGCCTATAAATTAGGTATAACCATTTGGTGAGGTTTTAAGGAACCTGTGTAAGCTGCTTAAGCCCAATGCCTGCCATTATCATCTTTCCTTTTACAAAAGTAGGGGTGACAAATCCCAGCTTTCGGGGCGGGTTCTGGGGGTTTCTCGGCAGCTAGCTAGCTCTGGGTCCGAGCTGTGGACTGCAAGACCCGCAGAGAGAACACCGAGTTGAAAGGATTTCAGGGAAAAAGTGAAGAGCCATCCACAGTAGACTGACCTAACTTAGAAGCCCAATAAATGTGCTCCCTTGAACCGACTGAATTCTTCCCAAACATGCCCAAGAAGCGGACTAACAGGTCGTTAGTCTTTTAAGCCTCCAAACGCAAGGAAAGAGAGGGTGGTGGCCGCGGTGGGTGGACTACTTAGGAAAAGACTGCCTGACTCCCACCCCAGACCCCTGGGCTGGATTCCTTCCTCGGAAGACCCCGCTCAAAGGGTATGGTCATCCCAGCATTGGTCTCTCCGGACATGCCCGCCGGAGTGGGTGTCCCCTCCCCTCGGACGCCTTCCGCCCGCCCCGGCCTCCGTAGACCTCGGCCGGCCCCCACCTTCCCCTCGGCCACCTTGGTCACCCGCCCGGCTCCCGGTACCTTCCGCCGGTCCGGCCCACTCCCTTGGCCCCCAGACCTCCTGCCCGTTCCCCGAGGCCCCGCCTGGCCGCCTCCCCCACTTCGGCCCCCTAGACCTGCGCTGCAGGCACCCGGGCCCCTAACAGGCCGTCACCACCTCGACCACCGCTCCCCGCCTCC